GTTATTCGGAATTGGAGCTAAATGTCCATTCCTGAGGGTAAGAGGCATTTAATAAGGCTATATTATTTTTATTTAAGCAAAAACAAAACAAACAAACAAAAAAACCACACAATAATTTCATGGCAATTGAAAATATTCCTAATATTCAATTATATCAGAAATTGAAAGTCAATTCTTAACACAAATTCCAGCTCTAGTAGGAAACCAATGCTACTCACGGGAGGTAGAACAGGAAAAAAAAAAAAAAGGTTAAAAAATACACACACACACACATACACAGACAATAGGTAAATGGAAATTCTGGTGGTCTGCTAAATTCCAGGAGCTCTCTTATAAAATCTATAGTTTACCAATAGTTCTATGACAATAGTTCCAGTGCTAGGAAAAGAAGCCAACACTGGCTTCTGCATTAAGGCTGCCACAGCCATTATTACTATCCCCAAATGAAAATGACTCAAGTATTTTTATAGCAGTATCTGAATGTTATTAATTCTTTAATACTATACAATTTTTAATTTCACTACTCTCTTGTCACACACAAGGATAATGGAATGTCTTTGACTCAGAATGATTGTGACTATGCTCCTAAGCAATGCCACAGAAAATCTAGTAAGTCTAGGGCTAAAAAAGTCAAGAATAAAGTTAAATTAGTGAAGAAAAATAAATGAAAACACAATTCACAGTATTTGGTGGGCAGGAGGAAATCAAGGTTTAAGAAATCATGTATAAATAAAATCTCTAAGATAGCATTTATTGAGAAAAAGAGCATTTGGTGAAGAAATCAATACACTGCAATAATGAGTCCCTTCCCCTTCCAACAAACAATGGCAACATCATTTCATCTGAGCTAGTCAGTTCCATATTATTTCAACAAACTTGGAAACTTCTACCTTTAACCAACATACCTCTAGACTAGAAGTTGTGGACAGCTAAGTCATTTCAGCATTAAAACAAATCACAGGGACATATAAGCCACAGTCAAAAATCATAAAAGAATAATATTTGACTAATAAGGAACACAAAAAATCTTTTGAGTTAAAAGTGCACAAAGATTTAATCCACAAGTACTGTCATATGCAGACCTTTATAATACTGCTCTAGCAATGCTCAACTTTTTCTGAGGGAGCCTGCAAGTTCCAGATAAGGACTATTTTAGGAATTTAAACCTTGGTTAAGATTCAGACAAGAATTTCTGTAAAGGAATGAGACTGTAGCTGAACATGGATTTTTAAGAAATAAAAGGGTTAGGAAGGGTATGTCGTTTGCAGCTGGATGACTTTGTTTAGAATACACATTGCAATAATCCCCTCCCACAGAAATCACTTCAAATCGTAATTCCCAACTGTTGCGCAACATTCAACCAGCAAAGGATTTCACAAAACTTTCACTCAGGAAATAATCAAACGACCCACAATTACCCAATAAATTTCATGTAGTGTTAAGAATAATTATAGGGTAATTTCTTCATGTAATTACCATGAAATTCACTATCATTGAGAGAATAAAATCAGAAACATACTCCTATGTGCTTTTTTGACCCATTAAGCACCATTTTCAATATCTCACTAAATAAGTTCCTCAAGCTAGTTTTTGTTTGTAGATTTCAAAACTATTTTATTAAATGAAACTCTGTTAATGTTGGGACCAACTGGAATAAGCTGTCAACCATTTATATACAATATTTATATTTCAGCCAGGAATGCAGTTTTACAAGTTAAATCGGAGCTCTAAACCCGAAAAGGCTTTCTATGATTAAGACTGAACTTTCTAATGTTTTCTTTTTTTTGAGACAGAGTATTACTCTGCTGCCTGGACTACAGTGACATGGCGTCAGCCTAGCTCACAGCAACTTCAAACTCCTGGGCTTAAGCAATCCTACTGCCTCAGCCTCCTGAGCAGCTGGGACTACAGGCATGCGCCACAATGCCTGAATTTTTTCTACTTTTGGTAGAGACAGGGTCTCGTTTTTGCTCAGGCTGGTCTCCAACTCCTGAGCTCCAACAATCCGCTCACCTCAGCCTCTCAGTTTCTAATGTTTTCTATCAGTCTTTACATATTAAACGTGGACAGATCAGTTTTAGTATAAATAAAAACTAGGTCTAAAAAGATGACCTTGATAAAAATTAATATGTCAGCTTTAGCACAGAGGTAGGCAACCAAATCTAAACTCTTTTGTTTGAAAAAGAGGGTGATACACTCTTGAATTAATCAAGCTGGCTATTTGAAGTCTGTTATCCCACAAAATAAAATGCTAATATATTTGAGAAGTGTCTTGCAAATCAGATCATTTCTCATGAAGTATAGCACTGAAAATAATATTAGAGATATAGTTTATTTCTGGTTGAAAATAATATATTCCACTGGGAAAAAGAGAAATAAGAATGAGATTGAAGCTAGGGATAATAAAAACGAACAAATTTTATCCCACTTAATTGTCTAAAGCATTAGCCGGATGTTTCACTTTGGGACTCACCTAAGGCAGAGGGAAGATTTTTAAGTAGAAAGCATACATGGGATGGATGTGATGACTCATGCCTGTGATCTCAGCACTTTGGGAGGCTGAGGTGGGAGGACTGCTTGAGGCCAGGAGTGTAAGACCAACCTTGGCAACACACTGAGACCCACATTTCTACAAAAAGTAAACAATTAGCTGAGTGTGGTGGCATGTGCCTGTAGTCCCAGCTATTCAAGAGGCTGAGGCAGGAGGACCGCCTGAGCCCAAGTGTTCGAGATTGCAGTGAGCTATAATTGCACCACTGCACTCCAGCCTGGGTGACAGAGACCTTGACTCCTCAAAAAGAAGAAGAAAAAGATACATACTTGACTAAACAATGTATCTACATACCAAATTAGATTATATAAATTATACTGCTGGAATTCTTAGAAATACATGTAGCTCTTTACTAAATACATAAACAAGTTTTAAGTCTGGGTTCTGATGTCATGTTATGAGCAATGTGTCAGTCTGGGTCATGAATACACGAAGTCCTACATTCTCTGCAAGCATTCCCAGTAGTCCCCCATTAAAGCCCCACGGTACAGATTCTGAGTTATCTAGTCAATTACCTCTTCAGTAAGTCCATGTCATTTAGGCAATAGTATGTTCACTATGATTCAACCCTATTTAAACATGGTAGAAATAAAAAACTCCAGAAATGACAGGGGAAAATTCCACCTAAGTAAAGTGAGGAAAGATGAAATTAAAATAAGCATGTTTTCCAAAAAAAACTAGTAGAGAAGCCATTAGGGAAAACAAAAATAAAATTACCAAGGTCAAGAACTGAGTTTCCTTTCAAATAATGTGGAATCTGAGGAACTGATGAAAAGAATTATAAAAAAAGCACTTTAAAACCCTTCTAATTTGTACCTGTCTCCACAAATGGCTACAATATTTAATACTGTAGTCTATAAGATTCAACAGGCTACAATATTAGTGATATTAATGTTTTATGTCCTTGACTGTCACTCAGGAATCACTTTATAAAACTGTACAAGTATGTTTAGATAATTGTTTATTTACTCAACTGTATAGTCAACTGGTTATTATGCAGCTACACAATTTGGTACTTGCTGAATTATACAGTGTACCCTTCACAAGAGAAGGTACAGATCTAATTGCTTAATAAATCACTAATGATTGCTTTGGGATGCTTGGAAGGCCAAGAAGCCCACGATTCAAGCCTAGAACTAACAAAAATATATTTCTGTCCCAAAAGAATTATTAAATTCTTAAATTATTAAATTTATTAAATTAAAACCAGGTACTAAAGATGGAGTAAAGAAGAATCTCAAAGTCTCATTCCTATACATGACAATTTTTGAAAGTGCAGGTCAATTTCTTCTTTCTTTGGTCAGGCCTAATTTTACTACTCATGGACATACTCAATTCCATAAAGTTGTTCACTCTTAAGAGCTACTGGACGGATTGACATTTATTATAGCGAGTCTCCTTTCTGCATGGTGCATATCAGTTGCATACAGCATACATACTGCATTCCACAGCACCTTGTGGGAAGACATGTACCTCTATTGCCCACAAAAAACCAAAACCATGGAAAAGTCAATCTGCCAAACCTTTCTGTTCCACGAAAATATATTTGCACCATTATTTTTCCTTTTCTCCATTAAAAGACTTGTTCATGTGCTTAATGAAATAAATATCTGTCAGTTGTATACACTGCTAGACAGCCATAAACCATTACTCTTCAAAATACCAATATATACAAGCAGATGTGGGTAGCTAATGTATATAAAAATAAATGAAACAGTAGCTCTGGAAACCCACCCTCCCAAATGAAAATGCTACAAAGAGATAGCATGAAGGAGAAATGAGACCCCTGGTTCTGCACAACTCCACTAGAGGAAAGAGTCATTTTCTTCCAAAACTGCTATACAAATATCAATGAACACATTATTCACTACTAGACCCTTCTGCTGGTCATTTTTAAAATGGCTCTTCAAGGTTCTGAACTATAGTCTCCTCAGCTTAAGGTCTCTGTGCTCAAAGCCAGATGCTATATTATAACATCTACTATAAAATATATCATTATAGAAATATTATATACCAATCTCAGATAGATGCCTGGGTCAATCTCAGGTTTCATTCTTTAGTTCTATGGCCACGAGTGCAAACTTGAGTTCTGCCTATTGTTTAATGCAACACAAGACAACACAGACACATATATCACTTTAACATACATCAATTGTCCTACGGAACTATATACTTGTTAAGAATGAAGTAAAGAGGTAAACAAGTGACACCACTTACAAGCAGTTGTGTGATGTGAGGTAAAGTGAAATGGGAAGGGAAAAGAAGGAAGAAAGAAAATCCAAACAACTCAACAACAACAAAATCCAAAATTCTTGTAGTGCTGAGTCTGTTAATAGTGCTTATTTTCCCCAATTAAAAAAAATGAAATAAAAATCAGAAAAAGATAAACTGCCTAAATTTTTCTTTTATACTCACTCATTCGTAAAAGGTAAAGAAAAAAATATATATATTTAAATGGAAAGTATACCAATTTCACTTTATTAGCCTAATTTAGGAATAGGATGGGGAGAATGGGGTTGAGGTCAGGTATGATGGAAGAGGGTTGAAATCTGTGATGGTAAAGATCCCTTCGGAACTCTGGTGCAGTCCTCAATCACTGCAGCTCAACTGTCGGTCAACAGAGTTGCAATCCAAAAGACTGAAAGACGACTCCTGTTTTCCATTTCTATGTCCAGTGACTCTTCAGTTACAGTGTGATGAGGTCCACCAGGTTGCCTTTAGGAGGAGTCATGCTGTCAGGAAAGAAATTTACTAAGGTGTCAAAGAGCTGAGTTCTTTGAGCATAGGTGTGATCCACATCCGAAAAGCCTGGTGAAGAGGAGATACAAAGAAACATCCACTGTGCTTAAAATATGAAACAGAAAAAACTATATGAGACCAGCAGCAATGTACTGTATAATTGAAAAATCAAATCAGACTTCAAAACCAGATAAACACTACTGATCTGATCCTAGTTCTACTACCTGGCTATGGTATGATCTTAAATAAATTAATCAGCCTTTCTGGCTTTTAGCCTGTTTCCTCAGCTGTAAACCTGTGATAATCCTGTTTACTTCATAGGGTTCTTGTGCAGATTCAATGCAATTACATGACAAGCACCTAGCAAAGAATTGGCACTTTAGTAATTAAATAACATTGATTTCTCTTCTCTTCCTTACTTTCCTCTGCTAGTCCACTGAGGAAATTCCACTCCTCTCTTCTGACCTTTCAATGCTTCTGAACCACTAAATTTGTTTTGATAATACAAATATAATAAAATCAAAATGAAAGGAGTCTTTAGAAAGTGGTATAAAAGCAAGGCCCTGATAGCTGGAAGTAGTCTCAGAGAACTGAGTGAAAGCAGAAGGGATTAAAGGAAAGAAATACATGTACAATATGTAAAATGGTACCCAGCATGTAACACAGTACATTTGTGGTACTATCTACCAGGCTCTATGCTAGGCACACATTATATGAGAAATAGAACAATGAATTATTTTTATCCAGGTAAATACTAGGATGTGAGTGACATTCTTAAAAGGTAAGAACTGTTAATTCAAAGGGCCCTTTAACCTCTAGTAACCATTTAATTTTCAAGTTCACTTCAGCCAGTGGAATATTCAGTGAGATTTCTCCTTGTTTTAGTTAGCTGCTGTATCGATCCCAGATGCTTCAGATTTCTTATGCACAAATGAGGTATTTAAATGATAAAATAAATTATTTCTTCCACTCTTCAAATGGCTGAGACATGAGAGCCCTATTGAGTGTCAGAAACAGGAATAAAGCCATAAAGAGTTATATATGTCATGATGTTCACTGCAGACTATTTCAGATAGGACTGATTTTCATTCAACTTAGAATACAGTTTTAGGTCCAATCTGTTTTAATCTTGTAAAAGAACAGGAATAGAACATAACATTGCCAAAGATACCAGTTTCCTGGAAGGAATATAAACAATGCCTCAAGAACAGCACATTCCTTTTTATTTTTAAAAATGTCATTATTTGAAGTTTGAGGGAAAATGTTTACTCTTTTGAGCTAAGCTTAAGTTTAACAAAGCCTACTATCTTATCATAGAAATGAATGGAAAGAAATGCTTCAAAATATTAACAAAGGTTATCTCTGAAAGGTGAGATTATAATCTTTTTGTATTTTATGCTTTTCTGAAATTTCCAAATTGTTTTATTTTCAGCTTTTTATTTTGAAATATTTCAAAGCCACAGAAAAGTTTTAGTAGTGCAATGCTCATATACCTTTCGCTTAATATTCATCAATTGTTAACATTGTGCCAAATATGTTCTTGTTGGGCATGTGTGTATGTATGTGTGTGTAAACTCCACTCATAATATTTTTGTGGAACTTTTTAGGAGTAATTGTAGACATCTTCACCCTTAAATACTTGAACTCATTTTAGCTGAGAACAAGAACATTCACTTACATAACCACTATGTATTAAATTCAAGAAATTTAACATTGAAATTATCTTTTTTATAGTCATTCTTCCTAGTAATCTAAAATCTAATCCCAAAATCACACACTACATTTAGTTTTCAAGTTTCTTTAGTTTGAAATAGTTCCTCCTCATCCTGTCTTTTATGACACTGACATTTCTGAAGAGCAAAGAGCAGTTATGAGTAGAATATGTTAAATTTGGATCGCCCAATTGCTTCTTCTATGCAGTTTGGGCAAGAATACTATAGAAGCAATGCCGTGCGCCCTTCTCAGTGCATCGTCTCAGAAGGTATGTGGTAACAGTTTGACCTAATATTGATGATGTTAACTATGATCACCTGGTTATGTTGGTGTATAGCAAATTTCTCCAATGTAAAGGTGCTTTCTACCTTTATAATTAAATAATCTATTGATGGGGAGATAGTCTGAGACTGTGTAAATATCTTGTTCCCCAACAGACTTGCAGCCAATGATTTAGCAATCACTGATGATTCTTGCTGAAACATTATTTATGTGATAGTGATTTTCTAATTTTACAATTTCTTCTACAGTTTTCAGTTGACATTCTATTTTAACGAAGAGCTTTTTCTTCCTCTCCTTTATTTGTTTGCATCAGTATGTTCTAGTGGGTTTGTCTTTTGTTCAATATGTTATACTCACTACTGTCATCATTCATTTTGATACTCATATTGCCCTAGATTTGGCCAGTGAGAGCTCTTCTGAACTGGCTTCTATGTCTTTTGAAATGTACCCATTAATTTTGGGGCACTTCCTTATTTTCTGGTACAGCAGGATATCCGAGTTCATCTTTGCACAGCTCTGGAGTCCTAATTCCTTTTCGTAGTTAATGATATTTAGATGCCAAGATCAGCTGTGCATTCACTGCCAGGGTGTCATTGTTTTTAGACTTACAAATACATACATATTAGATACATACTTTTTAAAAATAAAATCATAGTTCATACTTTTATTGCTAATTCCAGTTTTTTAAAAACTTCACAGAATTCTTCCTCTTCTTTCTTATCTCATTCCATATCTACTTTCTTCTACCACAAAAACCTTGACTCCCAAAAACATCATAGTATTTACTCATTTGTTTGACTTAAAACACATACAAGGCTGGGCACGGTGGCTCATGCCTGTAATCCTAGCACTCTGGGAGGCTGAGGCGGGCGGATCGTTTGAGCTCAGGAGTTTGAGACCAGCCTTAGCAAGAGTGGGACCCCCATCTCTACTAAAAAAACATAAAGAAATTAGCTGGACAACTAAAAAAAATTTAAATTAAATTAAAAAAATATATATGTATATATATAAATTAGCTGGGCATGGTGGTGCATGCCTGTAGTCCCAGCTACTCAGGAGGCTGATGCAGGATTGCTTGAGCCCAGGAGTTTGAGGTTCCTATGAGCTAGGCTGATGCCACGGCACTCTAGCCCATGCAACAGAGTGAGACTCTGTCTCAAAAAAAACCACCAAAAAACCAAAAAAACAAAACACATACAAAATGAGTTCTATAATTACTCTACCCATATCACTACAAACAAAGACTCAAGATCTACCATGATGTGGCTTAATTTGTTAAAAAAATAAAATAAAAAAAATCCTTAGGATCTTTGCTTTTATTGTCTTTAGAATATACCTAACTCAGAGTATATAGTCTAAGCACTGTATAAAAAGGTTTAGTTCATTTTTGTGTTTTTGTGTGGTCATGTTACCAATTTGATAAACAGGTTTGTTTGTTTCCATGTGTATTCAACTCTGGGGGTTTTCCTATCTTTGTTTTATTCTTTATGTACTAAATTTGTAAAAAATACCATGGTGTGTTATATTTTTAAAAGAAGATATTGATTCTGTACTCAGATATTGACAGTGCTCTCAAACGAAGCAAAGCCATTTTCATGACATCAAATATTTAAGAGAGCAGAAAACACTGAGTTTCTACTGAGGGCTAGGTACTTTATGCATGAGCACATTACACTGTCACAAAAACAATGAAGCAGGTATCATAAACTTCACTTTCAGATGAGACAATTTAAAGAGATTCAGTAATTTAATAAAGTCTCACAGCTAGTGAGGGAAGAGATAGAATGTGAACCCATGTCTGTCTGATTCCAAAGCCCCTTTATCTATTATTAACTCGTAGTTATTGGGTACTTAAGTTGTACGACAATGTGCTAAAAGCTCATTTTACCTCAAAAGTACATCTTTTATTTTTATTCACTATATACCAATGAAGAAATTGAAATTTAAACTATCATTAGATGAGTGGCTAAATTACAGTAAATCTGTTATGGAATAATTATGTATCACTTCATAAGAATATATCAGATCTGATGTAGTTTCATAAAATATCTTCAAGCCACATCATTAACTTTTTAAAAATTATGTTGCAGAATGTTCTTGTATAATAAATAAAACCAGCACATACAAAGCTATATATTTATATGAGTGTGTGTAAGCATATATACAGTTAATCTTGATCATTCACTAATTCCATATTTGTGAATTCGACTGGTCACTAAAATTAATTTTAACTTCAAAATAAGAACCTGTAGCATTTCTGCAGTCATTCATAGACATGTGTAGAATGGTAAAATATTTGAGATGACACACACATACACACATCCCCAAGTTGAACAATGTGATGCTCTGCCTTCTTGCTTTAGCTCCCTTAATATAAACAACTGTCCTTTCATGGTCTGTTAGGTGCCACATTTTTCACATTTTTGTGCTTTTTGTTGGTGACTTCACTATTTAAA